AGAGAGGAGGAGCAGCTGATGCCTGGGCTGCCCCATCACTGCCATCACAGTCCTGGCTGCCAGGGCAGAAGCTGCCCAAGCTGTATTTGCAGGGCAACATGTCAGCATCAGGTGTAGGACTAAGGAAATAAAGCAGAAAGGTCATTTCCTCCTTCATTTTCTGCTTTCCCAACCGTTGTCCTGCTCTGAGCAAAACGGTCCTTACGAACATCTATGCCTCTGCAGCTGAACCTGAGAAATCTCTTGTCTAGGCAGGCAGAAATCTGATGGCTCAGCTCCAACCATCTGGACGTGGGAAAGCTTGGAAGCTCCATGAGAAAAGGGAGATTTCTTGGCAAAGATTCACAGTCAATCTTTATGGGAGAGTGGAGGGCTGGCAATAGCAGGTGGCCATCAGGCTGCACCCATCCTGCTGGCACAAGCCAGGTGCTCAGGTACAGTAAAAGTGAGCAAAAATAGCTGGGAGGGGGTTCATCTTCAGTGCCAGAAGCAGGCAGGTATCACAGCAATCCCACTGCCCTGGGAGCAGCTTGGTCTCAATGTGTGGGCAGGGGCGGTGGGTGCAAGGGCCACCAGGGCACAGGGACAACACAGCAGAGGAGCAACAGGAACAGGATCTCCCTGTGCAGTCCCAAGAAACCCGCCTGTGAGCCAGTGCCAGGTGCTCCATTTCTGTCTTAATTTTGGTCTTGGAAAGAAAAAATTGCACAAGCTGAGTACACAGGGGCTTCAATCAAGCTGTGGCATACACCTGTCCAAGCAAGAAAATTACACAGTTGAGGCTGCCAGGGTGTCCTGAATTCACCGGGTGTGGGCCTTGGGGGCTGTGTTGCTGTAGCCCCCAACAGCAGCACTGCTGGCACTAGGAGCTGCTGCTCAGCCCATACTTCCATGCCCAGCATTGGTGCAGCAGCTGCAGGCAGTGGGCCTGGGGGATGCACACCATGCTGTGGCATGGCCACTAGATACTGGGAGGAAAACAGCAGAAAATGGTCATGCTGTGGAGGGTCTGATAGTGGCAGGGGATGGGGAACTCCCACCAGGACTCTTGCACCAGTATCATGGGACAGAGGCTGAATATTGTGGCTGCACAAAAGGACCGATGTGTTTCCTACCACTGAGCCCAACAGCTGAGCATGCAGACAGCAAGCAACAAGCGCAGTGAAACTGCACAGAAATACCCCTTGTTGTGTTTGCAAGACTGATGGCATCCACAGCAAATTAACTATCTTTTGAGTGGTGCTGAGAGCAGCATCCGCATGGTCTGGTAAGTGGACTTCTAAACTTAGCCCAGTTACTGTAAACTACACCTTTGCAAGAAACTACCGTCCGCAGTGTTCAACTTCAGAGACATTTATTTCTAGAGCCTGCGGAAACATTTCTCACCTTTCAAAGGCCCCAATTATTCCCTGGGGCTGGCAGAGCTCCCCAGCTCCATCCTCGTGGCATGGGGGGACCTTGGCTCCAGGCACACTGGGAGAGGTGGTTTCTGTAACCTCCCTATTTAGGGAAGAGATCACTTCAGATCCTGTTAGCCTAAGGGTGTGCGCTTTGATGGAGGGCACTGGGACACCACTGCCTCAATGCCCCAAAGAAGTGGTTTGCACTTTACTCCACAAAGGCTCCTGAGCCGTTAATACATCACCCCACAAGCTCTGGTAAATGCACATGGGCTGTCTTGCTTCAAGCTTTCTCTGGTTCCTGTAAATGGCATTGCAAGGGGTGGTGCAGCTGTCCCAGCTGCAGTGGGGCGGTTTGCTCTGTGCTCTGTGTACTCCGAGATAACAGGCAGAGGGATTCACTACCTCTCAAACTTTATATCTGATGGAGAATCATAAAAACACAGAATCATTACGGCTGGAAAAGACCTCCATGATCTAGTCCAGCAGTTCACCTACCACCAATATGCCCACTAACCATGTCATCCATGCCAATCTACCCTTTTCTTAAATACCTCCAGTCATGGTGACTCCACCACCTCCCTGGGCAGCTGTGCTACTGCATCACCATTCCCCAGGAGAATGCTGTGGGAAACAGTATAAAACATTTGCTGAAGTCTAGGTAGACTATGTGAACAGCCCTTCTCTCACCTGCCAGGTAGAAGCCCATCCCAATGTGATGTGCCTGTGTTCTGGCCATGAAGGGCAGCTGGGAATTCACTCCACAGCTGGATTGTTGCCTTCTGCACCCCTCCTTCAGGGTTCAGCCCAGTTCAAAAGGACCCAACATTCCAAGGAGATGCTCTAATTAACCATAAGGACAGTTTTGAAGTCCTAAGGCTTTGGGATCTATCTCTGTCTTGGATAGGGCGCACGCTGACCAATTCATTGTGAAATCTTGGCTTCATGAAAGCCTGGAGGAGCTGAGGAGCATGGTCTGGGCATTACCAGGATGCTGACATCTTCCTGTCAGAGGAAATGACAATAGGGATGCTTTGGAGGAGTCATTTTTAAAATGCCAGTCCTGAAGAAAACACTTAGGTGACAGTTTAGCTGTGTGTTCCCTTCTAAAGTTCACAAATATAAGTGTGAGAGGCCAGCTTGTGTTTTCTTATCATGTAAAATATGGAGATCAAATCTTCTGATCTCTAAGTCAGAAGGAGAACTCCCTTCCTGAGGAGGAAGCTGGCTTCCGACGTGTCTGACCACTGCATGGCTATGGAAATGTAAGAAGCTGTCAAAGTCCTCCTTCCTATCCTGCCAGGGTCAGCACCAGGGCAGCCTTGCTTCGCTGAAGGGCAGAACCATTTCCCTGCATTGCCCTCCTCTGAGCCCAGGGGTGCCAGGCAGGTCTCAGCCTCACCCCACTCCATCCTGCATGGAGATGGCCCCACTGCTACCTCTACATGTGGCTGCTGGAGGATTCCCAGAGCCACAGCGCTGGGACGCACAGACGTGCCTGAGGAGCCCTGCTATGTGCATCAGCCCTAAAATCACCGGTGCGCATCCTTGCCGAGACAGCAAACCCAGTGATTTATCTCTTTTCTTTCCCTTGATGCACATTAAAATGAGTTTGCCGGCGCTGCTGCTGCCTCCAGCTGAATGCGTGTGCTTCTTGGCTCCCCGCACACTGCTCTCCACAGATGCCGTGTGCTTTGGCAGCCAGGCCAGTCTGGGCTGCAGGATATTACGCCTGGCAGGGAAACAAACCCCTCCAGTTCCTGGAATTCGGATTGTCTCGCAGAGTGCTGATTAAGCAGCACTTTTTCTCTGCGCTCAGGGCAAACCCCCTGTTGTCCCCAAGCAGGGCTGCTTGCAGTTCGGCTCCTGCACAGCAGCAGGAGTACAGCAGGTCCACCTCCCCAGGCCATCACACCAATGCACATCAAATCAGGGAAACAAGAGCTATTTCCTCAAATGCACAACTTTGCAGCCCATGGCACTGGATGAGCATTCACTATGCAGGGCTCTGTCTTTTGTGAAGTAATAAATCACTGAGAAAGCCTCCTCTTAAAGCAGCCTGATGCCCTTCCTAGGCTAGCTGCTGTCAGATGCAGAGGTTGGCTCCACAGGGTGCAGGTTGGAACATCCCTCCAGCACATATCTCCCACCACCCTTAAGAGCCGCACTACAGGAGAGCGAATTCCACGAAAGCTTGAGCATGGGCAAAAATGTGCACAGGAGAATATTCCAGCAGAGTCCCAGAGCAAGGAGAGGCTGCACTGCTATGCACATCTCTACGCTGGGGTGCTATTCCTGCTCCACATGTGGGTGTGGTGCTCCTCAAGCCCCTGTGTCCCTAGGGACACAGTGTGGTTTGCTGGGGTTGCTCAGCCTGTGCCAGGCTTCTTGCCTTCCTTGCTCTGCCACTGTGGTTGTGAGCGATGTGCATCTGTGTTGGAAAGGCTTAGAGCATCCCCCATTGCAGGGATCCAATGTTGCTGTGAACAAGCACAGCAGCCACCAAACCATGGTCCCTGCAAGCATCTTTTTCTTACCCATTTCTCCCACCTGAGCAGCAGCTTCCCCCCAGTACACAGGGGTCTCAGTGCTGCCAGTGGCTGCAGCAGCCCCAGGGTCGCTCCCACCCAGCACTGGGGTGAGGAGTCACTTTGGCAGCCAGTAATCACTCTGCCAGCCTTTGGGAACAATGCTCAGGATGCCATAGGAAAACACACCTGCTGCTGCAGGATGGTCCATGCAGGACAGCTGCCAGTGGGCACACATGCGCCCCGGTGACAGGGTGAGCAGCATCCCACCCCAGGAAGGCACACTTCTGCCATCAGCCCGCACAACACCAGGGTCCCCCTGGTCCCCTCGTTGCTCTGCTGGGACAAAACCCCGCTGTGCCTGCGGGGTTTCCTGTCCATCGCTCCCCATCCAGACCCAATGGGGGATGTGAGCAGGGGGGCAGGCACATCACAGGAAATCTTTCCTTGTAGATATAACAAACAACAACAACCACCACCACTGAAACAAGCAGCTTTCCTGCCTTCCAGAGCACCACGCAGAGCTGTGCTGGCTTCTCCCTCCAGCAGCGCGTGGGGCTCAGCAGCGGCTGCGTGTGCAAGAGGCGTGCACCGAGAGCCGGCTATAAACCGCCCGGCAGAGCTCTCCCCAAACCTCAGCACGTTCCCGGGGGGACGAGTTAGGATGCAGTTTCTGCGTCACGCTGCCGTGGGCTGCCCGCCTCGCCTGGGTTAAATCTCTGGCACACGTGTCCAGCGCAGGTTGTTTGCAAAGGTTGCCCCGCGCGGTGCCGGGCTCGGCTGCGCTCGGCTCATTGCTTCAGGTACGTGGGGTGAGAGCGGGAGCGCTCGGGGATGCGGTGGCTGAAGGATGAGCAGATTCCAGCGTTTCCCTTTTTATTTTTTATCCTCGTTTTGTGGTGGTTTATTTTTCTTTCCCCCAACAGTAGGACTCAATAGGATTTCTTGCTGTTTTAAAACTTGCTGAGTGTTTGTTCTTTTTTATTGTATTTTACTTTATTTATTATTATTATTATTTTGTATCTGTGCTTTCTGTTTTGTTCTGGGGGTTTTCTCACCATCCAGATGTTGCGGGGGAATAAGGCAGGCTCTCACTGTGCCCCCCAGGAGCCCTGTGCAGCAGGTAGTGGGACAGATGAAAACTGGGATAAATCCTGCACTGATGTCTCTTAAAAGAAACAAGAGAAGGAATTCCACAGACATCTCCCTGCTGCTCAGTGTTACTGTGCCAAGCCAGCGGGAGCTGCAGGTTATCAGAGCTTCATTTAAAACACTTATTTTGAAAAGGACAAAGGAAGCTATAGGGAATTGGGTTTGATGATCCTTCTGGGTCCCTTCCAACTTGGAATATTCTACGATTCTATGAGTTCCTTCTTATTCGGAGCAATGGGATTTGCACGAGCAAAGCAAAGCGGTGCAGGTCATGTTTTCTCTTCCAGCACCACGCCCCAGGAGCAGGGACAGGAGATCCACACCGCAATGCCGCTGCTGCACTTGCACCTCTGCTTCACCAGCATGCTCTGCTGGCTGACCCACGAGTCCAGCTCCTTGGTGCTGCCCAACGCCACCGAGCTCCTGTCTCCTCCTAGCAGCACAAGGACGGGTCCAGCTCCAGGTGCAGGGATGCCCCGGAGCCGCCGCCGTCGGTACCTGTCCCCCCGTGACATGAATGCCATCCTGGACTACCACAACCAGGTGCGGGCACAGGTGTCCCCCCCCGCTGCCAACATGGAGTACATGGTGAGTGTGCATCGCCCGTGCCCATTGTGTTGTGGCTCAGTGCCTGTCCTGGGGATATTATGCATCCCAGGTGTGGGGCAAAGCGCTGCATGCACAGAGCTTTCCCCCAGGAGAGAGGTGGGAGTGGATGCTGCGTGTGACCGCTGCATGCCATGTTAAAGCTGGGGCAGATGTGGGTCCCTTATCTCCCTGCCCCAGGGCTGGAAGCGGGGTTTTCCCACTGTCCCAGCAGTGCAGGGAGCTACTGGCCTCACTCGTGTCTGCAGGTGTCCTGGGAGGCCCTGCAGCAGAGAGCAGAGCTGCTGGCATCACTGCAGTGCCCTTGGGCACGTGGGTGAGTCTGGACCAGCTCCTAGCAGCCTGAAGCACCCCATCGTGCCCACCCTTCCTCTGGCATGGGCCATGAGGGGTCAGGAGTTCCTGAGATCTCCTGGAGCTTCCATGCCTCCATGATGTGCTTCAGGTGCCCCTGACCCGCAGAGCTGGCACAGCTGCTGGTCCAGGGACACATACACTTCAGTGACAGGGTCACCAGCATCCCACTCCAGGAAGGGACACCTCCACCATCAGCTTGTCCTCCTTCATCTTCTCACTGTGCTGCTGGGGCAAAACCCTTCTGTGCCTTAAGGATTTGCTGCCCACAGCTTAACATCCAGACCTTTTGAGAGATATGAGCAGAAGGACACAACCCTGTTAATCTTTCCTTGTAGCATCTCATTAAAAAAACAAAACAAACAAACAAACAAAAACAAAAACAACCAGCAGCCACAGCTCCTTGGTGCTGCCCAGAGAGGCATTCCTGCCTGCAAGCTCTGTGCCAGACACCCAGAGCATCCTAAATGCCTGCCTGCCAAATAACTCTCCCGGGCATGGCTGAGGCTCATTCCCCACGTATTTCAGGATGGGTGAGGAAGCTTTAAATAATGCATGAAGGAAGCAGCTGTCCCAGCAGCAGAACAGGAGCAGCTCCTCTGTGTCCCTGTGAACACAAGGAGCGGATTTCTCCTCTTGCCTCCCCCCGGCAGGCCAAACCTCCCCCGCCCTTCCCCTTTCCCCTGCCAGGTGTGGGATGAGCGGCTGGCCAGGGCGGCGGAGGCGTGGGCTGCACGGTGCGTGTGGGAGCACGGCCCCCCCCAGCTGATGAAATATGTGGGGCAGAACCTCTCCATCCACTCGGGCAGGTAAGAGAGGCTGGGGAGCCGGGTCCCCCCACGCTCAGCTTTTAGACTCCGGCGCAGTGTTCATGCAGTGAGATGCCTGGTGACACCACAGCCTTCCCATGGCAGGTACCGCTCCGTGGTGGACATGGTGAGGTCGTGGCACCACGAGCAGCAGCACTACTCCTTCCCGCATCCCCATGAGTGCAACCCCCGCTGTCCCTCCAAGTGCAGCGGCTCCGTCTGCAGCCACTACACTCAGGTGAGAGCCCTGGCTCCTCGCTAAGCAGGGGGTCGGAGTCCCTAATTAGAGTGGGTGGGCATCTGCACTGCAGTCCCGTGGAAGAGGATGGGATTCCCCAGGGCAAACACACCCAGGGACCTCGTGGCACTTGGGGCTGCAGCTCTGCTCCCTGCACACACTCAGGGCTGGGATCTTGCTTCCCTCTGGATCGATCCCAGCAGATTGGTCCAAGAGCATTTTTCCCTCTGTTTCTCCTCATTATCCCACTAACACCTCAGAGGCTGTGAAGAGAAAAAAAACAAACAGCCCCTTCCCGCCTTGGCTGGTCATGAATCACCTCCTGCACGACAGAGTGGCTTTTTAGCACTACCCAGCCCCATGAATGCCCCCCTTCATCCCACAGCACCTCCAGCCAAAGCTGGAAGCCTCCCGCTGCCCCCCTGCCTCGGGCCGACCCCTCTGGTGTTTGCACGAGTGTCTGGAGCACAGCTGTGCCTGGGGCTGTCTGGGCCACAAATGTGCAAAATGCATGTTTATAGGGAGAAACTCAGCCTCCAGCGGCTTTAGGAGGGGCCTTTCTCCTTCGGGTCTCCTCGGGAGGGGTTTCACCTCCCTGCGTCCAGGCTGGCAGCGCTTCAGGGACAGCTCTGGGGATGCAATTGGGTGAGCTGGAGACATGACCCAGACTCGGCTGCTCCTTTAACTCAGGCAATGCATCACAGCACGCTGCGGGCACAGAAGAGGGACATGGAGAAGCGGGTGTTTGAGCAGCGCTGGGGTGGGCACAGCACCGCACCCGGGCAGTTTGGGCCTGGTTGAATTTGCCTCCCGGACCCAGCGGGGCTGACCGTGCTGTGTCCCACGCAGATGGTGTGGGCCTCCTCCAACAGGCTGGGCTGCGCCCTGCAGGCCTGCAGCAACGTGCACGTTTGGGGCAGCACGTGGCGCCGCGCCGTCCTGCTCGTCTGCAACTACGCCATCAAGTAAGTGGGCGCGGGCAGCCGGCCGTGCTTGGTGCTGTGCAAGGGGTGATGATCCTTCTCCTCTCCTCTCTTCCCAGGGGCAACTGGATCGGAGAAGCACCGTACAAGATAGGGAGGCCATGCTCAGCCTGTCCACCCACCTACGGGGGGGTCTGCTCCAACAACATGTGCTTCACGGGACTCAAATCCAACCAAGTGAGCTGGTTTTAGGACGGTGGCAGCACTCCACGTCCTCCTGCTGCACCCCATGGGGACAGGGGCAGCAGGATTATTTATGGCACCACGATGCTTTTGTCCCCCCCCAGCCCAGCCCTCCCTATGCTGCTTTAGGCTTTAGGCAGGACACAGAACCTGCTTTGGCCCCAGTGCTGCCACTCTGGGGTTCTTTTTGGACACCCCCTGGGACTGCTGCTGTTTGCAGCTGCTTCACACCTGGGGGGCACTGGGGGTGTTGGGAGCACAAGGGGCTGGCGAGGCCCTGCTGCGCAGGGCTGGGTGGGAGCCGTGCTGTGACCAAACTGTCCCTTTGGGTCAAGCGACTGGAACCCAGTGTGCCACCCCTGCACGTGCCCCTCCCCCAGATCTGCCCCCCCACCCAATAAAGCGGTCTGGAGACCCAAGTGCTCTTGTCTGTCTTTCCTTGCTAAGCCTTTGTGACATGGAGCCATGTACTGTGCCTTGGGATAACCCCAAATAGCAGAAACGTGCAGGAGTCCTCAGCAGGGTTGTGACATGTGAGATGCTGAGCACTTTGCTCCATCGTGTGGGAGAAGCCAGCAATGCTGGGACACCGGGCACTGCAGGACACTGGTGCTAAAATGCCAGAGGGTTATGGCTCAGGACTGTGCCCTATCCACAGTGCAGGGGCTGACAAGAGATGGGACAGGCAGGGATCCCCGAGGTGCCACCACCTATCCCCATCTGCCAGAGGCTTGGATTTCTTCCAGACTTGCCTTTCCCACGCCGCTGTGAAGGGCTTTAGCGTGGCCTAGAGGAAACAATGGGGCTCAGACACAGCCTGGGCTGCTGAAGGGCAGAGCAATGCCTCCAGACTGTCAGGGACAGCTCAGGGTGGGCACGCTGGTGAGCTCAGACAGCCCTGCTCCTGCAGTGTGCATCTCAGGAGGAAAGACACCAAGCAGTGTGCTCCCCCATGGAAGCCCCTCAAACCTCTCTGCAGGGCTCTGCCCCAATTTGGGGTCTGCATCTACATACCTGGTAAGCAGGAGGTCATCAGGCATCCTCCTCGTTGTGCAGTCCAGCAGGGAACACAGATGTCCATGGGTCATCACAGGCCATTGCAGGTCCCCCCACAAACCCCACAAATGCAGCCAGCTTGCCCCGCTGCTCCCTGAGCACAAACAGATTATCATGCAAAGACACCATCAGAAACAGAGGGTGCAGGGGGAAGAATTCAGAGAGTGGAAATGGGGAGGGAGCTGCAAATGTCCCATGTCAACCTTGTGCTCTGAGTACAATCCTGCATCCCACTGCTACCCATCCCTAAGTGACCCCCTGGTTTTGCACTGAGAGGACAAGCCCCGAGCCCTGTCCCTTGGCTGGGCTGTACCCCAGCACCAGACCAGCTCAGCTCATCCCCAGCCTGGCACCACGTGGTTTCACCCTTGCCTGCCCTTCTTCTTCATTGCATTCAGTGACCACAAACCTCTCAGTGTCCAGGCACAGCAGTGCCACAGCTCATCCTGTCCTCCCCGCAGCAAACCCCAGCCTCCGCTGCCCCATTCTTGGCACTGGCTGGAAGCAGGAGCCCCGAAAGAGTACAGTAAAAGCCATGTTTGAGTTTCTAGCTTGGCAGCAGTTACTATAGCTACAGCGACAGCACCTTGCAGATTGGTTTCCATAAGAGCTTGGTTACTATTTAACATCTCCACCCACATTAGCCCTGATTAAGCGAATCAATAAGATAACAAGAGAGGCAGGTTTTCTCGCCCTGCCTCTCCGCACTCTCTCCTGCCTTCACCTAGTTCCTTAGAAATACATTTTCATTTATTTATTTTACTTTATTATTTTTTTTTTATTCCTACACTTCCTTTGCTTTTCACCCCAAGTCCCCATAGCGGTACCCGGCGAGACATGGTCAATGTAAGCACCCAGCTAAGCGCTAAGATGGAGGCTCCATATGGTGAGTACAGCGATCCACCGCCCGCGCTGCCGCCGGCTGCTCACGGGGAGCGGGGCTGCCAGGGGACGGCGGCACCCGGCCCCACTGCCCCACCACCCACTGCTCCGACACGTGCAAAGTCTGAGACGGAGGCAGAAAAAGGGTCCTTTTTTCTTGTTTGTATGTATAGAGATATATATATTTTTTCTTTCACTCTGCTGGGCTTGAAGAAGAAGGAAGGTGCTGGAGGGAGTGGAGTGAGGCTGGCTTGCTTGCAGAGGGGCTGCTTGCCCTGGATAGGGAGAGGTTCTGGTACAAGTCATGCAGTCTGCAAGCAGTTGTGTGCTGCCCCAGGTCACAAAGCCAGCCTGGAGGCACAGGCTGTGTGTTCTGCAGTGTGCACTGGCTGTGGGAGCAGGGACAGTGCCCACCAGTGCTACTGGCCAGTGCCAGGGGATGGGATGGGGGTGATGCTGAGGAGGTCTCCCAGAGGAGATGTTAGTGCCTGAGCAAATGGCAGCCTCGAGGCTCTGTGGTGCAAGGCACCAGGCAGCACGCTCTGCCCCGGGTGCCAGGGCAGCCCCAGGCTGCTGCTCTCAATTGCTGGGCTGGATGCCAACTGCCAACAAATGCACGTGGAGACCAGAGGAGAGAACCCCCTGCCAAAGTTGTCATCACCCTGCTGTTACCCACTGCATTCAAAAGCACCTGTGCTGCAGCTTCTCTGGGAGCTCAGGGGCCAGGGCTGGTACAGACCTGCGTGACCTGGGAATCCCAGACCCCAGGTGCAGAGCAAGGGCCCAGCACATGAGGTCTCATAGTTACGGTGCTCTCTGTCACATCTACATGTTCTCTTATCACATCTCTGTGGCTCTCTTAGCACGTCCTTGTGGCTCTCTACCACATCCCCGCAGCTTTCCATCACATCTCTGTGCCTCTCCATCGCTCCTCTTCTCCCTTGCCCCATGCCCTTCCCAAACACACAGCCTGTGCTCCAGCTGCCTGATGTGCTGCAGCAGAAGCCTCAAAAGGCCTTGCAGTTCTCCCAGACCACCTGTCCATGAGTTGCTCATGGCCATGTTTTGGGTGCTGGTGTCTCTAGTTCCAGGCCTGAGAATGCTTAGCCTCGCTCCCTGCATCTCCAAAGGGAAGACTGGGGATATCCCTGCTCCAGGGACAGCCCTAACTCAGTCCCATGCTGGAGCCCATGCAGGGGGCGGGGGGGGGACATGTTTCATTCAGGACTTTCCAGACTGCTTTGTTTTTTGGCTCAGAATGCTCCCATCTTGACACACAGCTCCATGGTGGCAAATTGCTCATCAGCAGTTCAGTGGTCCATGGCCCATTTCAATGGAATTGCACAGGATATGCAATAGCATCCCTGGGTTGAACTGGGTTGAGCACGGTGTGGAGAGCTACAGAGAACAGGAGAAGTGTAACAGCTGTGGAGCCCTTTGCTTTACTCATTTTTGCCATGTTGCTCATTTCTTTGTAAATCCTCGGCACGCAGGAGCTCTAGGGCTGCTGTCATCCTACAGAAGCGAGCAGCAGGCTGGGAGCTTTCATACAGAAGCAGGCTCAGAAGAATGCTCAGCTTTATGTCTGGTTGGTGCAGGTGGTGATGATGTGTCCAGCTGGTGCTGCTTTGGCAGTGTGCAAGGAGACATGCAATGAAGGCTGTGAGTGAGAGAAAAAAAGGCTGGGTGCCCGTGGGAGAGGAAGGGGCTCTGCCCCTGACGTCACAGTGGAATGGGATGCTGATGCTCATTTCAGCAGAAGGGGAGGCACAAAGGACATGGATGTCACAGCGGTGGGATGTGACAGCACAGTGTGAGGTGGCAGGTCTGAGTGTCCCCAAACTGGATTGTCACCTGCCCTGCAGAACAGAGCCATCCACATTTCTGCAGCGAGAGATGGCCCCTGCAGACTGCTGATCCTCAAAGAGCTGAACAAGCTGTTGGATCACTTACAATTAAGTTGTGACATCCGTTTGCTTCTGGCTCTGGGTGAGCAGCTGTTTGCCAGCCCTGGTACATCGGTGATCTCAAGCACGGGCATGTACACACTGCCAGTGTGAAGTGTGCTGGGGACCGGGCTGAGGGATGGCCATGGGGTGAGCCGGGTGCTGCAGGGCAGCTTGGGAAGGATGGCTGCACATCCCACCTGCACCTCTCCCCATGAGTTTCGGTGCACAAACAAAGGCGCTCTCCATGCAGGCACAGCTCACACGTCTGTCCTGGGGCCGGGCTGCCGAGCTGGGGCCTCGCGAGGGGGAGATAGAAAAATAATAATAAAAGAGAAAGACAGGCCTCCCAGGCTGCAGCAAGAGGAGACTCAGACTGTTGGCAGAAGGAGGGGAGTCCTCATAAACTAAACGGGTGAAAAAGTTATCCAAACAGAGGTGGAGGAAGGGCTGGCGGGGCTGGGGCATGTTCAGCATCCTCACTAGCACCCGCCAGGGGCTGCAGGACAGAGAGAGGGGTGTGGGTGTGCTCAGGATGCAGCTACTCTTCTCTCTGCTTTTATCCTTCTGTTGAGACTGCAGCAACCAGGGCAATTGCCCCGAACCCCAGCACGGCCAGCACCGCTCGAATGTACTTTGGGAGCTGCTGGCAGCACCAGGGATGCCTTGCCCTGGTGGTTTCAGCAGGCAGCAGCGCATAATTGGGGCGAGCTCAGCAAAGCAGCTTTGGAAACCAGCTGAAAAATGCGAGACGTCAGAGCTGCTCAGGCATTTCGGTCAGATGTGGTGAATAATTTCTGCTGAAGAACAGAAAAGCAGGCAGAATTTCTAAATACTTTTGCTTTTCCCTGTGAAGTAACTACTTTTCATTGCAAAATGGATTTCATTTTTCATAAGCTTCCATCAGATACAACCCAAACTGAGCATTTTTCCCCTTGAACTCATGTCAGCTACTTCTTAATACCTCTGTTTATTCCTTGTCCATTGCATGAGGGCTGCAGGGGTCTGCTGGGCTCTGGGACTGCTTTTGGCTTGTGGTGGCCACCATGTCAGTGCTGAGGGGCATTTACAGGGACCAGGAGCAGCTGAGCAGGCTCTCGCATCAAGCACTGGGAGGAAGCGAAAGGGATGATCAGTTAGCTGCCCTGGTTGGATCTGGAGAGCTGTTTGTTGGAGCCTGGTGGAGGTTTCTCTGGGCACGGCAGAGCTGGGGATGCTCCCAGCACACCAAGAAGTGCCACTTCCTCTGCTCCAGGGCAGCAGCACACCTTGTCCTCAGCTTTGCTTGAGAACATGACAGTATTTTCTATGAGGCAAAGAGAACAGAAGCGCTACTGTATGGTGCTATTTGCAGCAGGAACAGGGCCAGAAGTGCTGGGGTAGTTCATAGGGCAGAGAGGGTTTGTGGAGCACAGTGAGCGTCTGGAAGTGTCAGGCTTAGAACACGGCAAAATGCTGCAAAAAAAACCATCGACAACTGTGTTTGGGCTCCTTCTCTGTTTGCTTTCCTCAAATATTCAAGCAAACAAGTTTCCTGGCAGAAATATTTGTGGAAATAACAAATGTTGCAGGATGTTC